GAGCACACACCGGGTACCTGTAGATCACTGCCTCACACTCAAGTGACCCATAGAGAGCACACACCGGGTACCTGTAGATCACTGCCTCACACTCAAGTGACCCATAGAGAGCACACACCGGGTACCTGTAGATCACTGCCTCACACTCAAGTCACCCATAGAGAGCACACACCGGGTACCTGTAGATCACTGCCTCACACTCAAGTCACCCATAGAGAGCACACACCAGGTACCTGTGCCTGAAGATCACTGCCCCCACACTCAGTGCTCTTCATGAAGAATGTTATTTAGTAGTGGACAGAACTCAAAAAATCAGGATGCGTTTGGCCGAAAATGGAAAAGAACAGTTTTTTTTTTAATATATATATTTTTTATAAATAATTGCATTATATTCGACTTTTTAATAAAGATCATGAATTTAAATGGATATGAATTTATTTTCAGCACCTTTTCGGCCAATCGGCTGAGCAGTTGTTGGGCTCATCTTGCGCTCTTTTTTTTTTTTTTTAAAGCGCTTCAAGAAAAGTGCATCCCTATAAATTCAATGGATGTCTTTATACTAGTCCATTGCGCTACCCTTGCGGTGTTAAAAATCCTGCTTGCCGCATTTAAAAAAAAACACAGCTCCCCATTGAGGCCTGGTTCACACCTATATGTTAAAAAACACAGTGCTTTTTGCAGAAACGCACTAAAACATAGTTCCCTATGGGATGCATTCATAACTATGCATTTTTGCTGCGTTTTTTGAAAACGGTCAGGGACTTTTTTTTTTTAAAAACGCAAAATGTTGCATTTTTGGTTCAACAGACTTCAATGCAGAATACTCATGTAGTATGGTTTTGATGCGTGCTTTATGTGTTTTGCATTTTTAATCTGCCTGGCAACAAATTGGCCCAAAAAAATCCCCAAAAACAAAAAACGTAAAAAAAAAAAGCATCAAAAACTTGAAAATTGCACGTGCAAAATGCAAAACGCACTAAAAAAAAAAGACAAAAACACAAGCTGCAGTGGTGTGAACCAGATCTGAAATGCACTGAAAACACAGCAAAAACACATTAAAAAAAACGCCGCACACCTGTTGTGCATTTGATGCATTTTTTTAATCACATGAAAAAAACGCACCCTAAACATGGTAAAATCACAGGAAATCATGGGGGAAAAATTGTGTGTACATCAGCGGCTATTATTGGCACCTTTTTTCCTATTGGCAAAATGCCAATAACACGATTTTCGGTTGATATACTTCAGCTGCCGATCAATCAGTACATCCCTATTATTTAGGAAACTGGACTATGACTTCCCAGCAGTGTATATGATATCACAAGAGATCTCCAGGACAGATGCAGGCGTTTAGCCTCTGAAAAATGTTTGTTCCTAGACAAATCTCTGCAGTGTCAATCGACTCTACATTAGAGTCCTAATTTTTGGAAGTTACACACATCTATTAAAGGCCTAACACTTCAATGAAGAACAGTGAAAACAAGGATACCTATCCTTTACTGGACAGAAATACAGCTTCTGTTTCCCCAAGGGGCTGGCTTACCACACCTGATGCCAACCAACCCTATAGAAAAAAAAAAAATATATATATATATAAAAAATAATAATAATAATTATTCGGGAGGCTACCATTGTTGGCCTCCAATTTAGAAAATGCTGAATGCCTCAAACGTTCCTGGTCAGCATACTTGTCTGAGGACAGGGACACAAAGTACTGAGGCTCGGGGGTCAGCACTTCCCAAAGGAGGTCAAAGTAATGGCAGCAACATAATTCCCCTAGGACATGTTTGAAAACCTTTAAATGTTTACTTTTTTATTTCTAGGTTGGTTTTCCTTTATTGCCTTTTTCCTGTGAGTAACACCTAGATCAGACACTTGGCCTACTGAATGGTCATGTTACACAATAAGAGGTGACATTTCAACCAGGGCTCATCACCCACCATGTCATATTTCTGTTCCTGTATACTAGTATAGGTATATGACATTTTATAACTGCTGCCCAGCACTCCCTCCAGCCGCACCTTGCTATAGTATGTATGTGGGAGGATCTACTACCCAGGGGTCGGTTTTCTCAGTACATGGAAGACGCAGCTCACCTCTATAAAAGTTTTTATGTGTGACCTATGAGCTGTGAGAGCCGTGTTCAGCTATTTGCAAAAGAAGGGCATTGTCTTCTTTAAGCTCCGGAAGATTTTACCTCTTCATGACCAGGCCATTGTTTGCCATTTAGCACTGCGCTACTTTAACTGGTAATCGCAGTCATGCAATACTGTTCCCAAATGAAATGTTTATCATTATTTATTTCAGGTACTCATATAGCGCTCTTAATTTACACAGCGCTTTACATATATATTGTACATTCACATCAGTCCCTAACCCTCAAGGAGTGTACAATCTAAGGTCCCTAACCCACATTCATAAATACACATACTAGGGTCAGTTTGGACAGGAATCAATTCACCTACCAGCATGTCTTTGGAGGTTGGGAGGAAACCAGAGT